TATATATATATATATATATATATGATGATCATGCATAGCTGAGACCGACGCGAAAAAGTTATTACTTCGTAGGTGCTTATATATGGAAATCGCAAATATTGAAATTTCCATATTCCGGATATTGATATATTCTCTATTTCGGATACAGATTAACTACATTCCCCAATAACACCTTAAAGCAAGTGAAGTGTGCTCATACCCCTGTTGCTTCACAAGACTTCAGCAATTCCTGTGCAGCTTTATTTTTCGCGTCCTGTGATGCGTCGTTGCCCACAAGCGGCGAGATATCGACTGCTGTGGACGCTTCGTGAGGTGTGGTGGACATATTGATTGCTGAGTACTTATCTTTACCGACACTGGTCTAGACTGTACAGTTTGTCAATATACAACGCCTGTATATAGCTCTTCTTTTTAGGAGGCTATGTATGTAATTTATATATTGAGAGTATAGCGCATTTATTTTATTATTGTTCAACAGATGATGGGGAAGCAGTAGTATTCGCATTTGGCAATATCTGATAGACTGACAGCGAACACTATTTCTACAACGTATTTGGACGTCATCAATTTAAGCCTAACCTCGTACGATTGAAAAGAATGTTCTATTGTTCTGCACAATATATTACTTTCTAAATATATAGCTAAATAATATTTAATATATATCTCTCTGTTAACTCAGTTGGTTAGAGTGCGGACCTAATAAGTCCGAAGTCACCAGTTCGAGCCTGGTACGGAGAATATTTTACCTCATTTTCTTCCGCACGTAGTAGAAAGCATATTACAGAATTCCTTGAAACCATGGCCGGTCACTCTCAGATAGCGGAATGCGGTTGAGGGTTTCTCAAGTTCTAAATGCTGCAGATGTTTGGCTCGAGATGTTGTGGAAGTATATCGTTCAGGGCTGTGGTAAGCACCTGAGAAGTCACCGCGCGGAATCAAATACGTGTCATAACCCCAACTACAACCGACCAAGTGGCTGTCAGTAACACAAAGCGCTAATATACAAATATTATCGTTCAGGGCTGTGGTAAGCACCTGAGAAGTCACCGCGCGGAATCAAATACGTGTCATAACCCCAACTACAACCGACCAAGTGGCTGTCAGTAACACAAAGCGCTAATATACAAATATAAGAGACTGCAAACTTATTTATTTATCTGTTACGTTAAGGATGACAATGAATAGAATGTCACGACCCTGCGTGAATTTATCTTAAACTAAGCAATAAGTTATAGGCCACAAGATGGGCTCCGCGCTCTCCCACATCTTCTGTCTTGGGAACATATACAGGGCACTTCCAGATGGCGGGGGATACACGTCCCTTATCAAACATGATCTCCTTAAACTGTGGGTTATTCGCAATCCACTTGAAGTTCTTTACGGCAATACCACCGGTGATGTACATACCACCGTATGGCAGCCATTTTAACATAGCGTTACCGGCTTCCGAAGCGTAGGCACCCATCATAATCTCCATGGCCTTCATACAAAGAAGATCCTTGTCTGCGTTCATACCAACAACCCCTCCCTTAAGAGAACCCGCCTCTGTCCACACTTTGTGAACACCTGTTCGAGCAACAATACAACACATACTTTGAGTACGATAAAAAATGTACTGGCAAGTGGGAATCGGGATCGATACTATTCTATGTTGTATCTGTAGTATATCTATCGATAGTTTTGTTTATAAATTAGTCTAAAGCACTGCGTAAATTTAAAAATAGATATATAGAGATGTGAGCAGGATGAAAGACTATATTTCAAATGACCCCCCTACTTCAAGGATCAAAGGTTGTCAACGTAACAGGCGATAACCACCCGGTAGGATACTGTTTCTATGCCAAAACATACCATCACTATCGATGTTCTGGGGAAACCTTTGACTCAAGAACTCGTAAATAGAACTTAGTCCAGGTCCAGAGATGACTCGCTCCACAGAGACACGTGACTTTTGCTCAAATTTCTCGCGCAAGAACTTCAGGAGCTCAACCTCCATGTGATCACGAGGTGGGAAATCAGTGTGTCCACCCTCCGTAGCCCAGCACACATAGTCGTCAGCATCAGGATCCTATAGTAAGTGATAGCAAATATAGCACGATGGTAAGTAGAACATTCGTAACTTTAGATTTGTATACCAAGTATAGCGTTCAGTTAGATAAAAGGAAGACGGATCCACATACACAGACTGTTTAAAGGAGTACTAAAAAACCCTATTCAAATCTCCCAATCTCATCAAGAAAACACTATGGTTAGCCCATCTCCAGCCATAAATTGTACCCTTTGTCGAAACCGAACTAAGACTTATAAATTATAAAAATGGTCTAAATAAAAATGTTTGCATAAAGACTAGAAACAGGCCAAACAACCAGTAAGAACTTGGGTACGGCAACCGAATCTAATACATCAGTCAGTGAATATCATTCACGAACATAGACACCTACACATGGAATACTACATTAGGCAATCGAATAATCACAATATAGAACATAAACACAAGTCATACTTTAGTCAAGAAGCACTCCCCTAGACCAGTTCCTGCACCAATTGTGGCAACAGGGGCACCTTCTACTGGTTCCACATCGTTCAATGCAAAGCACTCATCGGGGGAAAGGGTTAGAAGTCCGTAACCCATGGCGGTGAAATCATTTACAAGTAACACCTTGGCGATGCCAATATCACTACCGATCTTCTCGCCATCGATGAACCATCCGGTCTCAATGTTTGTGAAGTTCACTGTTGTGCACCAAAATGTAGAAGTGGTAAGTAGGTGAATTGTTACGTAACCGATATAGACCTAGTGGTATTCGCCACTGTATATGATATATACAAACATACGTATACTTACAAACGTACATACATACATACATATATATATATATATGTGTAAAAAATGACAAATAAAACCTACGTGTGTATGTTATAAGAATCAGTGATTACACATCAATTTATCTGACACAGCATTGTATTTTGATATCTAAAGAAGAAAGTTAACCTGCGTATACATGAATATGAATCAGTTTCGTTTGAGCGTGTACAATTATATCCACCCAAATGCTTCTAACTGTGGTTGAGAAGAACTGTGCACTCCAAAATATGTATGATAAGCACGCATAATTATACACACACACACGCTATTTATGATGTATGTATATGTATATGTATTTTGTATATATATGTGTATGTGCGTGTATATGTACGTATGTATGAATTGATGTAAGCATATATGTACATATGTATATATACGAATGTATGTTCGTATGCATATATAAAGATATATATATATAAATATATATAAATATGTTTCTTTATATATATAAAAATATATTTATATAGTATACATACACACATATTTACCGATGGACATATATGTATATATTTACTTATTTATATATATATACATTATGCATATATATATATACATCTATATATATACACATATCTACACATCTATAAATA